TTATGTATATTTTTGATTTCTATACGTAATTTATGAGGGTTGACGAAGCAAGGCAAAATAATATAACAGACCGTTGGTGTTTCAGTTACATAATACAGTATCGAACAGTATGATTAAATTGACAAAGGAAATCTTATGTAAATAAAATGGGATGTTCCCATACGTATAAAATATATGTAATTGATACATGTAATATTGCTAAAATATTTAGTGCCAATGTATTTCAGGTACAACAATGTAATTATTTATTCGGTTTAATTATTTCTAGTCAATAAAACACGTAAAAACAACAATTGGTACCAAAAATGAGAAATGTCGATATTTTTACCATCAGACTGTTGTCTTTACTTATTTTGTTAAAATGAGGAATGACGACATTATCTTAATAAGCGATCCTACGGTAGTGTATTAATGCACGTGAAACCGATAATAACGACGGACGCGGCGAAGTCGACGAGAGAGTATAAGAGATATCATTATACGTGAAGTGAAAAAATCGTATTTGAACGCGATCGCGTTTTAGTTGCCTCTGGCCAAAATGATTTAGGTTTATCGATTGACGACGATCGTGAAATGTTGACCATATTTTATTATCTTCCGCACAAGTTTCCGTCAAATTGCAATAACGGTTTAAACGCGTGCGTATATTATGGATCACGATTTCAAATTTAGTGAAAAAAATCATTGATTGCGCATTTACTGTCAGCTATATCCGATTTCACACGGTGTGTTTATTTTTAAGAATAAACCGATAAACCTACCTGTATAAATATAATCTAAACATATATGTTTTTCATTTTTTTTTTTTTTTTTTTATAACAGTATTCGTATATATTTACGGATATATGGAGTAGAGAACAACAATAACATCGACTAGGACGACAAAAAGATCCAAACAGTTTCCGTAATCGTCACATAACATCAAACCGTATATTATATTAGAAAATAGTAATTCTACATAAGAATATGAAATTATCGATATGATTATTCACTGTGCGGGATCATAAACATAAACCTACAATGTTCGACCGAACGGCTACATTGCAGGTATAATATTATTACCATGGTTATATTATTATATACACGAATGCAGAGCGGAATGCGATTTGTGATTTCAACCAAATTAGAAAACTAAACACTTATATCTTGTCCGTTTGGGATATTTCATGCAGTATGTTCAGCAACAAACATCTAAAACTAATAAAATATAATGATCGATAGTGAAAAAGATTTTGAAACTTGTGTACAAAATTATGTGTAGTAAAATATATTTAGTCGTATATTTTCTAGTCGGTATACAGATTTGGTTTAACATTCATCCCAAAATAATCGAGAGTGAGTTTTATGCTATATTGCAATGACAGTGGTGTACTTGAAAATTATTTTTGCTGCAAACAAATTCTTCAAACAAATAGTCAAATTAATTTTAATAAATATGGATATATATCGCCGTGAAATGTGGCATAGCGTCGGTTAAATAGCTTAGTATCTTATTAAGATTATCTGATGAAAAATTAAAAATTAAATTATTTATTTTCTATTCATTTGAATAACAGATAATGTGTTTCTAAATGCCTTTTATAATTTTATTTTTATTATAACTTGAAATTATGTATTGAGTCAAGGCATAAAAGTCGTAATTGTTTAACATAAATGTTGAAATGTATATAAAATAATGAGTAGCTAAAAATTACATTCAAATTAATATTTTTTAACGAAGATACTTGTATAGATGATTATTGATCTCAATAATTACTTATTAATATATATGTTACGGGCAAAAGTCGAAATCGGGCAAACCTCAGAAATGCCCGGGCAAAACGCGAACTGCCCAAAATCCTTGAACAAAATGTCATATTTCGGCTTTTGACCGGGCAAACCTAGTTATGACCAACCTCATTTGGGCAAAACTGCCAAAACCGTATATTGACTTTTATCGTAAGGGTAAAACCGTAGTGTTAAATACGTTCGCTAATATTAAATACAAATAATTATAAAATAAATATAATTGAATAAACTTAATTAATACATTTAAACCTCACTTGGGATAAATTGTAGCGTTTTAAATAAATTCACTAATATTAAATACAAAAAAATAATAATCATAAAATATTGTTTAGATATAATTTAATGCACTTAAATAATAATAAAATATAATGATATTAAGTATTTGTATAAAAATAAACATAATAATATTAGGTACTTTTATAATGTTAAAATAAATAATTAAAAATAATAATACATTTAAACCCCATTTTGATAAGGTGTATTTTGTGTACCTTTAATATAACGAGTTGAAAAAATATAATAACAGCGATAAATTAACAAGATATGCATGGTCATCTATAATCGTAATAAAATCGTATTTAATATTAGCAAACATATTTAAGACTCTACGGTTTTGCCATTATGATAAAAGTCAGTATACGGTTTTGGCAGTTTTGCCCAAATGAGGTTGGTCATAACTAGGTTTGCCCGGTCAAAAGCCGAAATATGACATTTTGCTCAAGGATTGTGGGCAGTTCGCATTTTGCCCGGGCATTTCTGAGGTTTGCCCGATTTCGGCTTTTGCCCGTAACATATACATTTAATTAAATTAAGTCCTAAATGCTTTGACTATTTTTTGAAGAAATAAGGATTAAAATTATTATAATAATGGAATTCTTCCAATAAGCCAAATATCCCATAAATGTCAAATCGTGTTAAATTGCCATTGATTTATCCATGTAATTTGAGTATTATATTCGTTTTATATAATGTTCACAGATATTTTCATAACTAAACGTTGAGGTAAATGTTTGGCTTACGTTTAAGAAATTAAGTAACTGGTTCATGTTTTACTGCTGTTAGACAAAAAACATCTTTATCGCGTGTTACATTTGAGTGACGACTGTGTAATAAAATACGTTGAACAGATATTTTATATTGATTTCCGGTCAGAATGGTTTTCTCGAACAAGACGGTGACGACTAGTTTCTCGGTTGCGTACAAATGAACCGGTGATGCAGTCCGGTCCAGGCACTCCAATCCGGGACGAAAACGGTCTTCGTAGAAACGACACGTGCGGTCACGATTAACGCAGATGGACAGTATATACATATTCGTATGACAGAGTAAAGCAACAAATTCAAAAATGTAAATATAAACAGAATGATATAAAATAACATAGTATAAACAAAGTAAAAATAAAAATGAGCTGAGTAAGACAGGTGTTAACTATTATAGCTGTGGTATATTTGAAACTATAGATTATAAATGAATGTCCAAATTTCGTATCCAATCGACTACATGCCTATTAGCTAGAGTGCTTATTTAGAGTGCCTTTGAATGCACGGATCGGACATTCAGTTGCTATATCAACTGGTAAAAGGCAAAAGGGGCTAAGCGACACGATATATACTAAGGGATAACCGACAGTTAGATCTTTTGATAGCACTAACGCTTGTGTTGTTCTGATTTTTTAGTAATGAAATTTAGTAAATACAAGAATTTAGATTTTTTGGGACGAGCCACACAACTAGTTTAAAGTAGGAAGCAAGCGCATTTTTTATGAGTATAAGCGATATTGTTGAAAATTTTATAGGCTAAGCGACAAATTCATGGCGCTTAACCCCTGCGATTGTTGCTTATCAACTTTCATTATAATAATAATAATATGACTTATGAGTATCAAACCAAATTTTTATATTAATACAAGTGATTATATGAGTAAAGTTCTTTATACGTCCTAGTTATACATACTTACGTTGCATAATTGTTACAAGTCTACTGAACAATTTATAAGCGAAATTTATCACAAAAAAAAAAATAAAAATTAGAGCTTAGCGCCAAAAAAAGATAGGTTTAGTTAAATCCGTTATGATAAAAAATGTACCTACTTAATATTTCAATGTAATTAGTGTCAGACCAGCAAGATGACATGTAATAGAATGGAAATATATAATAACCTTATTCCTAATGCTTAAACAAATATCGAAGCGCCAACGCCAAAGTTATGAAAATATGAACATTTTGTTTTTGCTCTCCTGAAAAGTAGTAAAATTGTCGCTTAACTCGTTTTGCCTTTTACCAGTCGATACGGAGGATTGTTTGCGTATCATTTCCACAGTCATGGGAAGGAGTGATGCGTAATTTCCATTTGTACATCATGCGATTACATCTTCCACGGCCGGTCCTCATGCGATTTAGAGTCACCCGAACTCGTCTAGGCAGATCGAAACCGGGTCGTTTGGAAATAGGATTGATAACAATGTTTTGTCCAACAGGGTTCTCCGCCGTCCGATCCGCAAAACATTTGGTGTTGTCCTCGATGTTTACCATTAACAGCTTCTTCGCGGTTATCCGAGGTGGTTCGCGAGACTTAAGACGTGGTCCGTCCTCGTTTCGTAATCTTAAACGCGCGCGTATCGGAATGCTGTTGACAGTGGCGTAACTGAGAAAAAATCTAGGGGGCAATATAATATATTTATTATTACCAAAACCCTGACACCCCTCCCCCTCACCAGTTAAAACGTATTTTTAATGTATTTATTTTATACAGTTTATCTAATTGTTTGATTTTACATAAGTCTCTTAACTCATTTTGTGGTTTAGATTAACATAAATTGTAGGTAGCAGGTACTAGGTACCAATATTGTTAAATAATACCAATTAGAGTTCATTAATGAAAGGTGCTTTTTGTACTGTTGGATTATCTGGGGGAGGGGGGCAAAATTATACCTTTATCTCTCAAAAAATTGTCAGGGGGGCACTTGCCCCCCCCCCCCCCCCCCCCCCGAAAAAAAAAATTACGCCACTGGCTGTTGTTATTTGCTGCGGGCGGGCTAACGGGACGGGAGATTCCTGTCGGAAATCCGCGCGCCGTGACATCACGCACACGCGCGTTCGGGTACCATTACGCGACCCGGGTCCGGGCGGCCGGCGGAGAAAGGACCGCTTGTGCAAGAGGCGACCGGTGGTGGGATCGGCGTGGTGCGAGACGGGCGTTCAGGTAAAAGCCTCGCGCTACGGTACCGGGCACTGTGCGACGTGCGGCCCGCGAGAGTGCAAGTGTTCCAGACCACGACATCGAGAGTGAGTGCACCACGAGGTATTTTTTTTTTTTTTCTTCGCGCCCGCCGTGTACCGCCGAGTGTGCCGCAGCCGATCAACATTCGAACACGCCTTTTTGATCGTACGCGTGGTGCCGTTACGAATACTTCCACCGCGTCCGACCCGGTCCCGTCCGTCGTCCGTGATTGATGTGGGAACAGTCAAAATGAAGGTACGTTTCCGACGATTTTTCGCTCTTTGATTCTTACGGGCCACGACGACCAACGCGTTCGTGTTTGGTTCGCTCGATTTGTTTTTCGAACTGTCCGCGGGTCGGTCGTCTCGAACGGTTCTAGGGAATCGCTTTTCCGAATCGCCGGCACCGATGCGCTTCCCGATGACCGTTTAAAAAAAAAAAAAAATAATATGTTTTCTCGTTTTTATCACGACCGACCCTGGTCACATTAACCCATTCGAATCTACGAACCGTTATCGATTCGTCGAGGGGGGAAGCAGATGAACGATAACGCACACGCGTTACTGCGGTACGTTTGTATTTCGACGCTGGACACTCAAACGTTAACCATTTTGAAATTCTATTCCCGTCAACGGAGAATTTCACGCGTTTTGCGTAAAAATCGTAAAAATCTCTATTTTAACTCACAGAATTCTGTCAAGTATTATATCGATGTGGGCAGTTTAGATATTATCATACCAACATACGTGTACTTTACTAAGAGAAACACACGCTAATTGTTCGTCATACGGAGATTTTCACACTTGTACGGACGTTATTAAAACTAAAGTTTCTGCTGTGACAGAATAATAGTTATTTAGTTCGGTGATTATATTTTGGTCGATTTTATTAGACGCTTTATAATTATCGTAGTGTATTATCAAAACGACAAATATCAAATAGTCTAATAGGAAATCATATATTTTTTGGTATTTAAGTAATATTTCATTAGTTCTCGTTAATAATGCATGCTATTTTTGATAACGACTCTACGTATGAACATTTATATATTGGTACACAAAATATTTGAAAACTTCGAATTTCTGATAAACATGAATAAGAAATCAATGAACTATTACGCAATGGACAATACCCTTTAGTACCCTTTAGACATAATTGATATTCTTAATACGAATTTAAACTTATCCTTACCAAAGTTTGATTGTACTAGTGCGATACATTCAAAGTTGTAGACACTTAATTAGAGAAATAATTACAATTACTAATTATCGTCACATTAATCTTGTGTATAATGCTTTCACTATCACTGAATAATTGATACGGCATCATCATCACGGAATCATGAACCATTGTTTACTTACTTTCGCGACTATTATTAATTACTCGATTTCGCGAAACTTAATTCCGTCATTTTAATTCCTGACACAAACACAAAACGTTTAATTATTGTAATTTTATCATAGAGTGCTACTAATATTCACCGTTTTCAAACAGTGGAAGTTGTGCAAATTCTGCTGCTACCTCACTAATCTTTATTGATGAATTATTCTAGCGGGACTTCATACGTAATAGCATTACATACTAATTGGTCATTATTACAGGAACAGAATGTGATATTATTTAACGAACCGTTTGTGATATTATTAAATTGTACGAGTGTTGAAAATCCTATGGCCTAGCTTCAAAAAATAATCAAATATCATTTAGGATCAATGTATTTCAATATTCTGCAAATGCAGAAATCGATCGATTTAAATGTGTACACCGTTATCGTTTTACATATAGCTCTCGTTATCTGTTGATAATATGAAAAAAAAAAAGAAATGATTGTTTTCAAACTACGTAATACATTATAATGATGTTTATCGAAAAGAAAAATACGTATCCCGATCGTAATAATTACAATGGTACTCGAACGAAAGGAGCGTGTATAATAATTTTCATATTTGTATTATATATTCATAATGTACGTATTCGTATAGGTGTAGTTTTGCCGCCAAAACATCGACCGCAATGTTGATGTCTGAAGGTGAAAGTCAGTTGGTAACTGCAGTAAACATCTCGTGCGCGCGATAAAAATAAAAATAAAAAAACATTAAAAGAAAAATTGAACACAATAGTCGCATACAACAATAATAATAATAAAAATAATAGATGGAACAGTCGAATGATTGATTGTCTTTCTTGCATCGGCAATGATACAAAAACTAGAACGATATAAGTATCTATACTATACTTCGTGTATGAGTTCGGTTGACACGAAATACGCGAGTCGTAGAGAAAAATGTCCCGATTATAACAAAAACAATGTGACTGTATATAGTATATTATTTACATGTAGGCATACGTATATTGCATGGTTAGAAAATGTTATAGTTTCGTGTTGACGCGTGTATGTGCTGTGAACATATTATATTGAGTATAGGCGAAATTCGCTCATTTTAATAATGTTGAGTAATTACTCTGGAATATGTATTAAATTTCTCTGTTTTAAATTACAAAATACTATTACTGCGCTCTTGATCATCAGGTTTTTATTATAATACGCTCGCGCTTTAACTTGTGATTCTTCTGAGCAATAACGTGTTATATATAATTATTAACTAGAAGTCGACTTCATTTTAATGACCGATATCAATGCAAATATTGCGCTTATCGTTGTTACGCACAGGCACAGATAACTATGAAAAAATTAAAACATAAAAATATATAAAATCAACAAACCGTTTGTTCAAATAGTTATTATTTTCATAAGAAACCTAGAGAACTTAAGAACCGAGTTTGTGTAGATGGGTCTTAATTATAGGTTTACATATTTTCTAGACGGTAATATTTGAAATAATTAGTAAAATAGTTTAAACGTAGTCGATTAGCTAAAGAAAATAGTGCGTGATTCCACACTAAAATCGCAGTAGATGTGATTTAATTGATTAACTGCGTAAGCGCTCATATAGATGTAGGAGAAAACGACAACAAAACATGACGAAGAAACTATTTATTTACGACCCGTCGGAAGAAAACGCGAATCGGGGAGATAAACGAGGTATCTACAAACATAAGCAACATCACACAACGCACGCACACATACCTGTATATACATACAGTGTGTTTATGGAAGTGTATTGTCAACGAACAACCGTAGACAGTGCCGATTCGCTTTACCGGTAAAATGTCGGAACATTTCGTATTTCCGCCGGATCAAACTTCATCTCTTTTCTGCCGAATTGTAATTTTATTTTATTTTTAGCACACGTATCGCATATAGGTTGGTAAATAGTTATACATTTTATTATTTTTTTTCATTAATATTATTATTATTGCTTAAATACAATATGTAAAAACAACCAACATGGAATTATACGATTATTATTATTTACTAATTACATTATTTTAAAATAATAGTTATCATATTGAAACTATTTATTTAACCATATTTAATGAAAGTGCAATTTTTAATGTACCTAATAACAAAAATTAATATTACAAAATCGAACATGTTGACCAATAACCATACCTATTGAATACACTATTATTTTATTCTTGGAAAATTGTAAATAAATCGCCTATTTAATTTTAATTTATGATGGGAGAGAATTTTTAAAATTTGAAATGCTATTATAAATACTCAGTGCGGTATAAACCATTGTTTTCATATATCATGTTAAATATATATTTCACCGAATACGCTTGAATGTATTCATTACAATGTAGTATTTTATAACAATAAGAATATTTTTGCTATCGGAAGGTGTAAAGAAACGAAGTTTGTTTGGGCGGTAAATAGAATCACACAGGAATATGTGTTAAAAGTATTTGATGACAACATATAGCATCATCAACTTCTTGTAATTTCGTATATTTTTATCTTTGTAATTCTGCAATAATTGCGGTTGGGATGACCGATTGGTAAAGGGTGACTGGGAGTTCCAGGAAGAGAGAAACGTCAACCGAGTAACAATGACGTAACAGTGGACCGAGGATGTTGAATGGCTATTATAAACGCATAAAATAGCCGTAGTAATCTGTAAAATTTAATAAGAAGATATAATATATTTTTATTTACCAACGACTTATAATAACTGTAGTAGTATATTAGTATCATTAATTAAAAATACATTTATTTATGATATAATGATAGTACACACCGAAATCGACCGATTCACCGTCTACACACGTTTTTTTCGCTGGGCCGAGTAATACACGATCTACTCAGCCGGCGGTTTAGACATGCCGAGTAAAGTCAACTTTGGTAGTGGGCTCAGTCGCTCGGCAGATTGAATAGAAACGGTTTCTATTCACTCGCTCGGTCGTTTTACTGGACCTAGTACCAGTTCCTTGAGTTTACACGAGACAGTGCTCGGCCGAGTACTCGTCATGTGTAAACAAGGCATTAAATTTATTATTATATATTCTATATATTATTTATATTACCAAATTATGAGTCTTCGCATTTCACTCTACATAGTTGTATCGATTTCTGTTGAGCTAACAAAGTGTTATGATTACGATTATTATTTTATGATACGACTGCTTGAATTTAAATCGAGCCAGTGGCACGTAACAAATAAATTATAGCCGTCGTTACTCTTGTCGGTCTTTACTATTTTTTACTTCCATATTCTGATTATTTATTAATATAAAAGTAAGTAGTGCAGTAAATGATTTTTGAATTCGAAAAGTAAAAATAAAACTAAACGGTGACGAAAATCTAATCTAATCGTAATTTTTTCGAATTGTACCCGCTCCAAGCGTATAGAATGAATCCGGTACCATACGGGCGACCGTCGAGTGACATATTATAGTGTTGACCAGTAGCGCAACCAGGATTTATTTTAGAGCGGAGCGTGGGGGCTTATATATTTGAAAAAAATTTAAATTTGGAATTTATTTAATGAGGAGAATGAAGTAAGGTTGAGTTAACCACATGTTTTAGGAGGAGTCACAATGCCAACCCTGCTCCCCTAGTCTTTACCGTACACGTGGTTATTACCGCATTCGATTCAGATTCGTGATTAATATACGCATCTCTACGATCAGTTTCCGTCACGTTGGAAGCAGATTTCTCCGCGTGGGCCGTCGTCGAAGCTTTGATCAGACTAGCGTGGATTTACTCACATAAACAAAATATATATATATATATATGTGTGTGTGTGTGTGTGTGTATAACGTGCAGCGAGTAGCACAAGCGCGTTTAGAAAGCATGAACGAGAGCGCCACGTGATCGCCCGATATTGCGCGTGTCACACATCCACAGC